CCCGGCCGCATTTTTTTTTTTTTTTTTAATCGTTTGTCTTTCCAAGAGTTTCATGGGAGAGAGTTTGGTTTGTTTATATTCATTCTAAATGGACATTTAGGATGTCAGCTTCTGTCCTCACGAACTCTGAGGCTACAAGTCCCCTGTCTTATCATAGGACCATACAGGTGAAAAATAAAAGAATAGAGCCGGGCACAATGGCACACAAGAATCACTTGAACCCGAGAGGTGGAGGTTGCTGTGAGCCAAGATCATGCCACTGCATTCCAGCCTGGGCAACAAAGCAAGACTCAGTCTCAGACTGGGCATGTTGGCTCACTCCTGTAATTCCAGCACTTTGGGAGGCCGAGCGGACAGATCACAAGGTCAGGAGTTCAAGACCAGCGTGGCCAACATAGTGAAACCATGCCTCTTCTAAAAGTAATACAAAAGTTAGCCGGGCATGGTGGCGTGTGCCCGTAATTCTAGCTACTCCGGAGGCTAAGACAGGAAACTCGCTTGGACCTGGGAGGTCGAGGCTCCAGCCTGGGTGACAAAATCAGACTCCGTTAAAAACAAACAAACAAACAAACAAAACCCTCTATCTCCAAAAGTAAAGAAGGAAATAAGAAAACATAACGTTTATAAGAAGTCATTTTGTTATAAAGAAACACAGTTATATACCCTAAACCAGGGTCTTAGAGAGAAAAGGAAACCTGTACACAGACTGGGACAACTGTGTCTTCTCTACCGTCCCCACCTCAAAGTTGCTTTCTCCCTTGTTGCCTAGAAAATCACCCTGATTGGGTATGATTGTTCTTTGCATATATATCTTTTTCATTCTTTCCAGGCTGACCATTGCGTGGGTGGTCGTTGCGCGTCACCTAGCGGCCGACTTACAGTACAGGCCTCCTCCAGAGGCCTCTTGGCCTAACAGCACAGCCTGTGGCCCGCGGGGGCGACCGTCTTTCTCGAGTTCTCTTGTCCTCCAGAGCTCCAGCGGCAGCTGCCGAGGGAAGGACAGTCCCCGCTGTGAGCTGGACAGAGCTCGGGACTCCTGCGGCCTTCAGCAGAACTGTCCCAATGGTGCTGGAGCTCTGGAGCGTTTCTTGTGAGTCAGAGCTCAGACGTGCAGGGCCGTGGAGGGGCTGCTGTCACCGGGCTCCTGGCAGGAGCAGAGTTGGAGGCTGCCTGGCTGGTCCCCAGCTCACCGCAGCAGCAGAGACCCCACCCGCGGGATTCACCAGGCATGGTGCAGGGGGCCAGGGACAGCCTCCAGGCCCAGCTGTGGGCCCGCGTGGGTCCTGGCCGTCTGAGGCTTTGGCCGATGTTTTACCCAAATCCCCATGGAGAGTCGGGGACCATCCTCTACCATCTTCGGAGGGCCGGAAAGGGTCCGTCTGTGGGCTTTCCGAGTGCCAAAGGGGCCATGGGCTGCGCCGAGGCTGTTACAGGATCGGGGGCGCCCCTGCTTGGTGTCCACTCACTCTGGTTTCCGCCTTAGGTGGCTCATCCCTTGGGCTGGGACTGGGCTAGGGGAGTGTCCTGGCGATGGCTGAGGCGCGGGTGTCGGAGGGTGAGGCCTGGCCGTCCTGGGTCTCGCCCACTGCGCGGTGGGAAGGAGGGGCCCGTCGCCCCCCTTGAGCTCTTCTCAGTCTTTCTGCCGCCCGGGTGGACCAGCAGACAGCGTGGGGGAGCGGTGGGAAGGAAGGTTGGCGGAGTCAAACTCCCGGCAGATGGCCTCAGGCCCCGTGCGCCACACTCGGCCACACCTGGCCTGTAGGGTGGACCCGGTGGGCCTCTGTCCTCACCACTGGCTGGCTTCGCTGTCCAGCTGCCGGGTCGACCAGGTATCAGCTCCGAGGCTAGGACTTGGCCGCCGGCTTGAAACGTTTAAGGTGGACCAGACGCCTGCCTCTCGCCGGCGGCAGTACCGCTTAGGTCCAGTAGAGGGTGCCATGACGGCTGACGGCCCTCCACCTTCCCGGGCTCACCCAGGTCATCCCATTTCGGCCTCCAAAGTAGCTGCGGCTCTGGGGATCTTTCTGTTTTGTTTTGTTTTTTTCGTAGCCCCACTTTGAGTTTGTTTCCACAGTACATTGAGTTTTTGTTTGTTTGTTTTTTTGCTCTCTTATGCTCTTTCCTGCACACTGAAGTTGTTTCTTGTGCGTGTGTATATATATAAAATACATATGTGTATATATGTATTTGTATACTTTTTTTTTTTTTCGAATGAGGTCTTCTCACTTCGTCACCTAGGCTGAAGTGCAGGTGTGTGATCACGACTCACTGCAGCTTGGACCTCCTTTTTGTAGAGACGAGGTTCTGCCATGTTTCTCTGGCTGGTCCCAAACTCCTATGCTCAAGCAATCCACAAGCCTTGACCTCCCCAAATACTGAGATTACGGGTACGAGCCATCCTGCCTGGCTATCTATGTGTCTGTCTATCTAACTGTTTATCTATCTATCATCTATCTCTGTATGTTTGGTTCTATCTATCTATCTGGCTGGCTCTGTCTGTCTTTCTGGCCTGTGTATCATCTTTTCAGTAGACATGTGATCTTGCTATGTTCTCCAGACTCTGGATATATATTTCTTTTTAAAGTTTAATTATTGTTTCTTTTAGAGATGTTGTCTCTCTATGTTGCCCTCAGGATAGTCTTGGAACTCCTAGGTTGCAGGTATCCTCTGTGGCCTCCCAAAGTGCAGGGATTACAGGTGTGAGTCACTGTGCATGCTCTGGTCATGTTTTTGATGTGTTGATTGTTTCCAGTCCAGATGTGTAATCTCATGTCTCAACATTCCTGCTGGTGTGATTGTGACCTATGACTTTACCTAGTACCAGAGTGATTTGGTGCTCCTGCACTGGCTGAGCCCACAGAATAGAATGTAAAATATCCCTGGACCCAGCACTGAGGTGGTGTGACTATTCTCCTGCCTTGGCACTGCCCACAGGGCACATTGTGACATCACTGGGTCTTGTAGCCAGGTGATGTGAATCTTCTGTCCAGCCTTGGCTTTTCTACGGGGGACATTGTGTCATATCGCTATTTGATGTGACTCTCCTCTCTTACCTGGATGTTGCCCAAAAAGAGATTGTGACATAACTTTGGGCTCTCCTGCTTGTTCCTTGCCCACAGAAGAGAAAATGTCTTATTGCTGAATTAGCACACAGGTGATGTGATTCTTCTGCCTGCTCACAGAAGTCATTGTGACATATATCTGGGCCTGTCACTGAGATTATGTGACTCTCTTCTTCCTGGGACCTGTCCACAGTGGGGAGTGTGACATATTGCTTGGCCCAGAACCTACATGATGTGACTCTCTTCTTATGCCTAGGCCCTGCCCACTGGGGTGATTTTGACATGTAGCTGGGCCCAGCCCCAAGGTTATGTGATTCTACCTTCTTCCTGAGCCCCACCCACAGGGGCCATTGTGTCATACCTCTGAGACCCTCAATTAGGTGATGTGACTCTTTTGTTGGGGCCCTCTTCTCAGGATATTGTGACATTGCTGAGCCCAGCATCTAGGTGATGTAACTCTTCCCTACTGTTTGGTCTCTACCCAAAAAAAGATTGTGACGTATCACTCTGTCAAGAACCTACATGAGGTGACTGTCCTCTCCAGCCTAGGACCTGCCTACGTTGTGTATTGAGACATGTCACTGGGTCTAACATCTAGGTAATTCAGCTCTCCTGCATGGGCCCTGCCCATAGGAGTATTATGAGCTGTCTTTCTATTAATCACCTAGGTGAGGTGACACACCTCTTCTGTCTGGGACCTGCCAAAAAAGTACTGTTACGTATCACTGAGCCCAGCACCTAGGTGATGTGACTCTTCTCTCATGCTTGGGCCCTGCCAACTGGGGTGTTTGTTATGTATAGCTCAGCCTGTCCCCTAGGTCATGTGATTCTTTTTTTTTTCCTGAGTGCTACCCACAGAGAAAATTTTGACCTATTTTTGGGCCCATCATTTAAGTGATGTGACACTTCACGGGCCCTCCCTACAAGGTGTAGTGTGACATATTGCGAAACCCAGTACATAGGTGATGTGACTCTCCTCTATGGGTTGGGCTTTGCCCAAGCAGGGATTGTGATGTGTTGCTGGGCCCACCACTCAACTGTTGTGATTCTTGTCTTCTGCCTAAGCCCTGCATACATCGCGTATTGTGACATGTACTTGGATTCAGCACCCAGGTGATAGAACTTTATGTCATGAGAACTGCCCGCAGTATTATGACATATCTCTTTTTCTTTTTTAATTTTTGAGATGGAGTTTCTCTCCTGTTGCCCAGGCTGTAGCACAATCTCGGCTCTCAGCAACCTCCGCCTCCCAGGTTCAAGCAATTCTCCTTCCTCAGCCTTCTGAGTAGCTAGGCATGTGCCACCATGCCCGGCTAATTTTTTGTTTTTTGTTTTTTTTTTTCAGTAGAGAAAAGCTTTCTCCATGTTGGTCAGGCTGATGTCAAACTCTCGACCTCAGGTGATCTGCCCTGTTCAGCCTCCCAAAGTGCTGGGATTACAGGCGTGAGCCACTGTGCTTGGACCTGTGATGGGGTCTTTTTATGTTAGCCAGATTGGTCTTGAATTCCTGGCCCAGGCTGTTCTACCTCAGCTTCTTCAATTTTTTTTTTATTACAAGTGTGAGCCACCATGCTTGGCCTACTTCTCCATTAGATTTATCATTTTGTTTCATACAAATTCTTCAGTTATCTATTTATCTTTTTTTTTTTTTTTTTTTTGAGACGGAGTTTCATTCTTGTTACCCAGGCTGGAGTGCAATGGCGTGATCGAGGCTCATCGCAACCTCCTGGGTTCAGGCAATTCTCTGCCTCAGCCTCCTGAGTAGCTGGGATTACAGGCACACACCACCATGCCCAGCTAATTTTTTGTATTTTAAGAAAAAACGGGGTTCACCATGTTGACCAGGATGGTCTCGATCTCTTGACCTCGTGATCCACCCGCCTCGGCCTCCCAAAGTGCTGGGATTACAGGCATGAGCCACTGCACCCGGCCTATTTATCTTTTTTTAATTATTTTTTTTTTGAGTCGTTGTCTCACTCTGTCACTCAGGCTGGAGTGCAGTGGTGCAATCCTGAGAATAGCCGCTTCACACAGGATGCTTGAGGAGCCTAAGATGAGCAACTTTGGACAACCTAATTCATGCATAGCTATTCCTGGCCCCTGTGGCCCCCCATTCCTAATGGCCATCCACGATGTGGTCAGCAGTGGGGTACAGCATGGCCAGAGAGGGGTTCAGGGATGGGATGAAGGTTTTTCCTGCATTATCAAAATGATTAAAAAGTTTTCAAAAAGGTGTCCAAACTTTCTTTTTACCCTTAAGTTGATACTAGGATGTATTAAACAAGCAGACCCAGGTAAGGGAAAGAGCAAGTGCATTTCAAGCGTCAGCTCACTTCTTTATTAGCTGTAATTCCCTGGGCACGTGACCCTTCCTATGGGAGCCTGTTTCCCTGATTTTAAAAAGCGTTGATGGGCCGGGCGCGGTGGCTCAAGCCTGTAATCCCAGCACTTTGGGAGGCCGAGGCGGGTGGATCACGAGGTCAAGAGATCGAGACCATCCTGGTCAACATGGTGAAACCCCGTCTCTACTAAAACTACAAAAAATTAGCTGGGCATGGTGGCGCGTGCCTGTAGTCCCAGCTACTCAGGAGGCTGAGGCAGGAGAATTGCTTGAACCCAGGAGGCGGAGGTTGCGGTGAGCCGAGATCGCGCCATTGCACTCCAGCCTGGGTAACAAGAGCGAAACTCCGTCTCAAAAAAAAAAAAAAAAGCGTTGATGCTGGGGAGGGTGGGGGTGGGAGGTGTTCCTGGGGCTTTATCCAATCAGTGGCGCTGGCGCGGGAACCTCCCAATCAGGCCGGCAGCTGGAGCTGAGGGCGTGGCTTCCGGCATTTGGCGGGGCCTTTGTCTCTGCTCCCGCCAGAGCTTGGGATCCATCTCTGCGGGTCAGAGTCCTCCACCGTGGGAGCCCTCGTGACTTGGTTACATCCTCTGTTGCCCTGTGATCTGCAGGTCCTGGGAGACGCTCTGCTAAGATGCCAGGAGACTCTGAAAGATGGGAAACAGTGAGTGTGCGGGGCTGTGTATCCCGAGAGGGGAGAGCGGGCTGTGAAACCGGCTGGACCGGAGTCCCCTCTGGCTCAGCTCCGCCCCAAGCCCCTCTGGCCGCAAGATGGCGGCTGGACCCGCAGCCAGGACCCCCGCGTCCCTCCTGTACCTGCGGGGCGCCCTGTCTGGAGCTCTCTGGGCAGCTCTGCACCCGCAGCCCCGGATATTTCCAACATTGTTCAGGGATTTCAGGCACGTTATCAGGGCAAAATTCGCACTCGGTGTGTGCGTGGGAGGGGATACAGCCTGTAGGGTCTTCAGCCTTTCCTAATTATTTTTTTTGTCAGACGGAGTCTCGCTCTTGTCTCCAGGCTGGAGTGCAGTGGTGCTCTCCCGGCTCACTGCAACCTCCGCCTCCCGGGCTCAAACATCCGCCTCCCGGGCTCAAGCGATTCTCGGGACTCAGCCTCTTGAGTATCTGGGATTACAGGCACGTGCCGCCGCGCCGGGTGAATTTTTTGTATTTTTAATAGAGTCGGGGTTTCACTATATTGGTCAGGCTGGTCTTGAACTCCTGGCCTCAGGTGATCCCCCCAACCTCGGCCTCCCAAAGTGTTGGGATTACAGGCATGAGCCACCACGCCCGGCCATAAAGAAATTATTCTATTGTCCTTCTAATATTTATTAAACTTTATATTAATTATCGTAATGAGTTTTTCTGTGAAATTTTGCTGCCATTAATTGAAATGCCAATAATTCAGAATGCCTGCTCTCCATGAGTACACACAGATTAAAACTATAGATATATAAGGCTGGGCGCGGTGGCTCAAGCCTGTAATCCCAGCACTTTGGGAGGCCGAGGCGGGTGGATCACGAGGTCAACAGATCGAGACCATCCTGGTCAACATGGTGAAACCCCATCTCTACTAAAACTACAAAAAATTAGCTGGGCATGGTGGTGCGCGCCTGTAGTCCCAGCTACTCAGGAGGCTGAGGCAGGA